AATGAAACATGTCTTGTCTCTAAAACCCAGGGCAGGGCTTCCCTGGTGGCGCAGTGGTTGAGAGTCCGCCTGCCGATGCAGGGGACACGGGTTCGTGCCCCGGTCCGGGAAGATTCCACCTGCCGCAGAGTGGCTGGGCCCGTGAGCCATGGCCGCTGAGCCTGCATGTCCGGAGCGTGTGCTCCGCAACGGGAGAGGCCACGACAGTGAGAGGCCCGAGTACCGCAAAAAAAACACAAAAAACAGGGCAATATCTTTTGTATAGAAGATAAGTAACAACTAGTTCTATACTGAAACTACTTCTTATACTGAAACCACTCATTTTAATATGCTGCATATTTTCATACTTAAAAAAAGATACAAATAAGAAAGAAAAGTACAGATACATGCTACAATATAGATGAACCTTGAAAACATTACGTTAAATGAAAGAAGCCAGACACAAAAGACTACATATTGTATGACTCCACTCACATGAAATGTCCAAATCCACAGAAACAGCAATGAAGATTAGTGGTTACCAGGGGCTGGGGGTGGGGAGTGGGGTTGGGAGGAAATGGGGAGTGCCTGTTAATGGCTACAGGGTTTCTTACTGGGGTGATGAAAATGTTCTAAAATTGATTGTGATGGTTGTACAATTCTGTGAATATACTAAAAGTCATTAAATTGTACACTTTAAATGGATAAATTGTATGGTATGTGAATTATATCTCAGTAAAGCTGTTAAAAAAAATTAGTAGAAAAAATATGGCTATGTAATTCACCAAATTAACAGATTAAAGGAGAAAAAAACATGGCAACCTCAATAAGGAAAGGCATTAAATAAAATTCCACAACCATTTGTGACACTAACTTCAGAAAATCAGAAGTTGAAAGGAATCTGCATAATCTAATAGAATTTTCCAAAAAATTAAGAATAAACGTCTTATTTAAATTATAAAAAATTTAAAAGATTCCCCTTAAAGTTAGAAGCAAGACAGGCATACTACATAATAGATACAAAGCATTTTGCCCTATTTCCTTACTAACAATAATCCCAATTTTGTTTAGGGCAGCAACTGCTCAGCTGAAAAAAAGAAAACCACCACATTTCCCAGAATCCCCTGCAGCTAGAGTATACCATAATTTTGGCCAATGATAAATTAGCAAAGTCTGCTGAGGATTTCTGGGAAAGTTGTTTTCCTCCATATGTAAGTACTTCCCCCTCCTCCTTGCACTTCTTTCTCCCTGCCTAGAATATGGAAGAAATGCTGGGAGCTGTGGTGGTCGTCTATAAGGACAAAAGCCAAATGCTCAAGGATGGCCAAAAAGAAACACAGAATGATCTTAGGACACTGATGACAGTGTGAAGCTGGGCTTCATGTTACATGAGAAAAGTACACCCCTAACATTTGGGTTTTCAGTTACATACAGCTAAACACAATCCTAACCAGTATTAGCTTGCTCTTACTCTTCATCAATACGTTATGTTATTGGGACTTCTCTGGTGGTCCAGTGGGTAAGACTCCAAGCTCCCAATGCAGGGGGCCCAGGTTCAATCCCTGGTCAGGGAACTGGATCCCGCATGTGTGCCACAACTAAGAGTCTGCATGCTGCAACTAAGAAGGCTGCATGCTGCAACTATGAGCCTACATGTCACATGCCACAAGATCCACATGTGACATGCCACAAGGAAAATGTCACATGCCACATGTGACATGAAAATCCCGCATGCCACAAGGAAGATCCCACCGCATGCCACAACTGAGACTTGGTGCAGACAAAATAAACAAATAAATATTAAAAAATAAATTTTTAAAAAGTTATGTTATTAAAGGTCCCAATGGATACAGTAAAATAAGAGAAAGAAAAGGAAAAGGATTTGAAAGAAACAGTTTACTCTCTGACAGTGCAGTAAAAAAGATTATATCAAATGTAGCAAAATGTTAACAACTGGTGAATCTACATTGGAGTATTTAGGCTTGAAATTTTTCAAGATAAAAATCTAGAAGGGGGCTTCCCTGGTGGCGCAGTGGTTAAGGTTCAAAAGTGTAAAAGCAATATCCTTCTGCTCGAAACTATTTTTTTGTTTTGGAAAACATAGCTATTTTTCATAAAAATGTTATGATAACATGTAGTAGGTTTATTATTATAATTTTTAAATGATTTAATAAGTAAATACTTCAAACATTTCTCAGTTTTAATTTCCAGTACAATAATATCGCTAACTGTAACTCTTATAAAAGCCCTCTGGGGTCCTCAATTTTTTAAGAGTCTAAAGAGGTCCTTAGACCAAAAAGTTTGAGAACCACTGCCCTAGAGAAACTATCACACATGTATACCACAAGACACATAAATGAATCTTGCTTGCACCACTGTTGAGCAAAGAATTGCAATCAACCAAAATGTTCATCAAAAGGAAAAAATGATAAACTGTATATTCTTACAATAACTATACAGCAATTTAAAGGAATGAACTAGCACTATCTGTATCAACGTGGTTAAATCTTACAAACATTAAATTTAAAAAGTACTTGCTGAAGGATACACACAACATGAAACCATATACATAGTTTTAAAACATAAAATTATACTATATATTATGTAGTGATACATACATACATACATACATACACAGCAAAAGTGGAAAAAAAACAAGGGAATGATAAAAGCAAAGATTGTAGAGATTACCTTTGCGAGGGAGGAGAGAGACATGAATGGCAGGGAAGAAGGATACACAGCTTTCAATTATTTGTGGAATGTTTCTCTTAATTAGATAGTAGAAACATAGTTACAGGCATAACTCGTTTTACTGTATTTCATATTATTGCACTTTGCAGATATCACTCTGTTTTACAAATTGAAGGTTTGTGGCAACCCTGCATTGAGGAAGGTTGATCAGCACCATTATTCCAACAGCATTTGCTCACTTCGTGTCTCTGTGTCACATTTTGGTAATTCTCTGAGTATTTCAAACTTTTCCAGTATTATATCTGTTATGGTGATCAGTGATCTTTTGATTGCAAAAAGATTACGACTTGCTGAAGACTCAGATGATGGTTAGCATTTTTTAGCAACAAACTATTTTTTAATTAATATATGTATATTTTTTTTAGACATAATGCTACTGCACACTTAATACACTACAGTATAGTCTATAGCCTACAGTATAAACGTAACTTGTGGGAATCTTAGTTCCCCGACCAGGGATTGAACCTGTACCCTCGGCAGTGAAAGCGTGGAGTCCTAACCACTGGACCACCAGGGAATTCCCAACATAACTTTTACATGCACTGGGAAACCAAAAAATTTGTGTGACTCGCTTTATTGAGATACTCACTTTACTGTAGTGGTCTGGAGCTAAAATAAATATTCATTGAATTAGTCCCTATAATGTTTTGTATGACTGAAATACAACATAAGTAAAAGTTAAGAACACTGAATAGACACAATGGGTGTTAGGTAGGGACACACCATAGTACCAGATAAAGGATTGCAAATTAAGGATGACTTAGGTTTGATTTAGGTTTCAAGTCTAGAAAACTGGAAGAATATTGATGCATTAGCTCATCTTTAGAAAGTCAGGATGAAGAAATAGTTTGTTAAAAGGCAAGGTGCTGGGATTTAGACATAACAAGCTCGAGAAGCAGAGATGACAAAAATCTTTTTTGGGGGGAGGTGGGATGGGGGGGACAAAGGCCTTCTGAGCTATTTTATTTTATTCTTTTTAATTAAAGTACAGTTAATTTACAATGTAGTGTTAGACAGAAATCTTAGAGAGTTGTTAATTCAGGGATGGTGTTTGGGAAGTCAGGACCAGAGACACAGGTTTGGGACTCGCTGAGTAAAGATGGAAGATTTGAGGATAGATGAGATCACCAAAAGAAAAAAAAAAGTGATAGGGAAGATGTGGGTACAGAGAAGCTTAGCCAGAGAGACCAAAGAAAAGAGTTTCGGGAACAGACACCTATGGCAGGAGTAAGGAACATAAGAGAGAGGTTGGTGGAAGATAACAATGAGTTTTCAGAAAGGTAAGAAAAGGAACCAGAGTCAGGGAGGAGAACATTTGAAGACAGTTGATATAAAAGAGTTCAAAGCGAATAGGGAATAAGACCACATCACTGGATTATATTTGTGCAATTTCGGCTCAGACTGAGAACTTCCTGAAAGCTTGCCAATTCCAGGAAGCCAAAACTGATTAATTCCACCCCTTTCTGACCACTCCTCTTTCATCCATCCATTCATTCCAACAAATTTTGATTATCTTTTATGTGGGCACTAAGGATATAATAACGAATGTCTCTGTCTTCCTGGTGTTTAGATCACAGTAGAAGAGAGATTCTTTAATCAGCCAGTCACACCAATGAATGGAAAATCACGACTGTGATGACTGCTATAAATGAGAGGTACATGGAGCTTTGAGACTGCATAACGAGGAACTGTTACCTGCCCCCTCCTTTCAGCAGCGTAGATTGTGCCTTCAGATTGCAAGCCCCATAGGTCATACGTTTTCTATATCCTTAGACTGTCCATTTTCTTTTGATATCTCCTCCAAGTGCCCAGCATAATGCTTCAGAACAATGGGTATTCAGTATATGCTTATTTATATACTATATATCTGTAACTGGATGCTTCAGATTTTGTAATAAATATGTCCTATTGTATGGAAGAGCTATGACACTTTTTTTTTAATACTGTACTATGGGTGTTAAGGAGCCCAAAAGCAAAGTGCAAGCCTTGAATAGGTTAGTTTGGTGTCCGCCACCCGCATCCCAAGCAATTACCTTGAGAATGCTTAAGATTATTCTCAAAGCGGTAGCTAGTAAAAGTATGGAAGGATTGGCACAAAACATTCTCATCTCTACAAAGACAACTTGAAATGTACACTCTTCCAATACTAAACCAGTGCTATAATGTTATTTTTGAAAATAAAAAGCAAAATGTTCGTCTTAAGGCAAATTGGCCATGACAGGAAAAATAGAGTTCAGCGGTAATCAAGAAGCAGCCCCATAACTACTTACATCACGAAACTGAACCTTTCCGAGTTCTCCTAATTCACTGACACAACAATAAGCAGCTTCTGACTGTAGAAAAAGCTGGGCCAGTGTCATCTCCTCACTCCGGAAAAGCTCCCCCATGGCAGCAGAAAGGACCAGTCAACTGCGTACCTGGATTTCTCTCCAACCTAAGGCAAAACGAGAAAATTATATGACCTTGGAATTATCAAGAGGACTGAGAGCAAACAACACCCCAGGAAGCCTCTTCCGTTTTGCATTTCATTTCTTCCACTCCATGCTGACAGGTCTTTAACAACTGTTTTGACATCCTTCTTAGAAAGACAGAAAGGAGAAACTGCAACGGCTGTTACTGAATCTTCTCCCAAAGAGTGTCTGATGAACAGTCACTTCCTTTGCAGTCGACGTCAGGATTAAATGACAATAATTTGGGACATCTCAATACATAAGAATGTATCCAGATTAAAAACAGGAACTGGGAATCCGAAACAGCTCTTTAAATACCTTGGACACAATATTATGAGGCAGTTGACATTTTTTTTTTCCTGTGTCAGGAAACAAACAGAAGAGACCTCGGTTACCCTGTCATAAAGCATGTCTCCGTCGCATCTAGTTTTCTATCCTCTACTGCTAATTTCTAACAGCCAAAGCCCCAGGACTGCCCTAAAGGTACGGCTACCTTAAAGGGTTTAACTTTCCAAACTCCTCAGAAAACACCATTTTCTCCCAAAAGAATCTAAACACATAAGCATTAACTTAAAAAACAAAAACAGAAAAACACAGAAACAGCTTACACATTAAGCTCAATTTCAAGTCAAGCATGACAGGAATACATGGTAATGACAAAGCAATTTTAAGTCACAGAGAATAAGCTTTGGACCTCCGCAGCTTTCTGTTTCTTATCCCCACCTTCAAGATTAACTACATTCTTCCATCTGTTAAAGCTTCGCATGAATGAGCCAATAAAGATTTCCTTTTCAGTCGGTCTTACCGTTACCGGGTAGGAAAGACAATTGGCGCTATCAGTGGTCCTGAAACTGCTATTATTTATTCTCAATCAGCTATTGTAAGGCACAGGCTGTACAGAATCTAAACTCAACAAAATGTAAGGTATTTTTAGTATCATGAGGGCATCCCTAATGATAGGTGAAACTGGCATCAAAGGAAGAGCTATTCTTCCGGAAGCCTGGGAGACATTTTGAGAAATCTGAAGGACAAAACCTTTGTGCATTTGACGTTCAAGGCAGCAAAACCACGCATTCAGATATAAGCAAGAATTTCTCAAGAGATCATGTAGTTTGACTTTAAGACTGCCTACACCTGAATCATCCAAAACAGCTGTTAACAGATCCCACACTATCCTCAACAAGAATAGATTCCACAGCCTCTAAACACAGAAAATTATGCCAGATCAGCATAGTTCAGAGGCTGCCGATAATGACAGCCTCCAATGAGTTGCCTCCCCGTTTCTGTTCTTTAATGATTACAAGTCTCCCTAGAACATCTCTATCCCACTGGAACCAAAGAGAAAACTAAAAAGGCCACAGCAATTCGGGCGCGTGAGGGTCGCAAAAAAAAAATATGAAGAAACAGTAATCCTGCGCAAGAGGAGTCCAAATAAAGTGCTCCCGAGCCCTGCCTCACGACTGTCATCCAGTCCTCGCCTCCTAACGAGCTGTTCAAATTCACCTGCCTCGTTTCCTGTCTACCTAGTGAGAAGGAGGAATTCTCTGAGCCCAGTCACACCTACCTCCTGGAGTGGGGAATAAAAGGGGATAATCCTCAAATGGGGAGCCCCTTTAAGAAGCCCCCGATTCTTCAGCCTACCCAATAACCTTCAGTTCCTCCACCTTCCACTTAAATGGGGTAAGGGATCGGGGCCTCCAAAAGGGGGTGAACCTCCTGTTTCTCGGCCCAGAGGAGGGGTGCCCGAAGAGGGGTGAACCCCCATTTCCTCTGAGACCTGAAGCCCCTGCTAATTCCTTTGACAACCGAGGGGGCCGTTAGAAGGGTTTGCTGTGCCCCTCGGAGGCCGCTCCCTGCCGCGCTGTACCTACAGCCCCAGCTCACCTCCAGCCGCGGTCAGGCCGCCGCCAAAGCAACCGCCGCAGACCAAAGCCGCAGCCTCCACAGCTCCCGGCAGCAGCACCTCGACGTGCGTGCGTCCGCAAAGCCCCGCCCCCGCGCTGCCGCCGGCCTCCGCCCCCACGATGACCTCATTGCCGTTGGCCAATGGGGTGAGGACTCGGCCGGAGGCCTCATTGCGGAGTCGCGGGGGCGTGGGCGAGACCCTGCGTGCTGACGCCATCTTGTTCCCGCAGCCTCGGCTACCGGCCCTGGGAGGGCGGGTGTGTGGGGCGGGCGGCGCAGGTGCTCTAGGCCTTAAGTTCTTGAGCCCTTCAGAATCCTTTCTCACTAATATGTATCCTTGAGGCCAGGCTGCCTGCTTTCTTTATTTTCATACCCAAGGAATTAATTCACAACTTTTTCCTCCTCGAGGGGAGTAGCATGAAGGAGAGAAATTATTATGAAATGACTGGAGAGCTCGAGCGGATCTTTAAAAGGCTTCCAGCCCCAATCTGCGCTGCGCGCGCGCGCACACACACACACCCTTTTTCCTTATTATGCAGGGGAGAAAATTTGAGCCCTAGAGTGGAGAGCGACTTGCTAAAGGTGCTAGATCCTATAGAGGAGCCTTGATCAGGGGGCTCATTCATTTAAGAATAGAGAACCCCTCTTTAAAAAGGTATTTGCTTCAGTCCTTCCAGCAACTGTCCTGCTTCTATTCTTCTCCAGTTAACAGTGGGAGAAACTGTGGTGCTCCAAGGACAGTGGTGCTTCAAGGACAAAGAACGACCCTGCCTGAAAAAGTGTCAACGTTACACCCCCTACTGGACTCCTAATCGCCCTCCCCACCATGTTGCGATGGTTACGAAATTTGTGAGACCACCTGGGCGATGCCTACCTGGGCAACGGGACCTGTCCCAAGTAATGAAAGGCATATGCCCTGTCCCACTCCCACCCTAAAAAGGAAGGTGTATGTGCCTCGATCAATCAGTAAAGGGAATTTTCACCTCGGACCATTTCTTTTGTTTTCTGGCTATAAAAACTGATCAATAGCACATGTTCGGGCTTGACTCTCCCAGGCTATTAGGAAGTTGGCCGCTGTTCTGGCAGTGACCCTTTCCTCTAATAAATTCTATCTTCTTTACATTCTGCCTTGTGTCTGGAAATTCTTTTCCAACCCGCGTTCGGACCTCGTCAGGAACCTTATTAGACCAGGTGTTGTGAAAGTTAATTTCGAATCTTGTTTGATGGATTCCTGTGCGCCCATTTGACCACTTAAAAGTTTTCTATTCCTCAAAATTTGTAAAAGAATAAGTTTTAAAAAACGCGTTAAGTGACCTCTACCTATTATTTATAAAAACGCCTTTCTCAACTATTGATGTCGATTCCCGTTTCTTGCCTTTCTTTTAAGGAAGAGTGGGGATCCCAAGTTGTTTGTCATAACCAGAACGGTATCAGGAAAACTCAGAAAACTGGTTATTCATACTTCGTGGGTGGTGGAACCCTACTGAGATTCAAATGTAATGATGGAGATATGTCTACCTGGCAAAAACATCATCAATCTTGCTTTACCAGCCTAAAGGAAATAATAAAGGGCAAATACCGACGTTTAATTTGCATTTTTCATCTCACATTGTGAATGAAGGTATAACGACTTCATTACGATTTTGTTGAGAAGAATCACCTTGGAGAGCCCCAGGCCCTCCCTTTCCCTGTGAGCGTAATTGCTCCCTAGTTCTCTCAACTTTCCCCCGCAAGGCGGATAAGGACCCACATTTGAAAGCCTGCCAAGTTTTATAAACTATTACACAATGACTCATTTCCTTCCTTTGAGACTTAAAAAAAAAAAGTTAGTTTTCTAACCTCAGGGTCAGCTGCTCGCTAACCACAAATTTTCATACTCTTACCTTTAAGACAGCCTTTCATCTGGACTCATATCAGTGCCCTTGAATTCCCTTTTTTCACGGATTCCTTGAAAGTATATTCTCTTGGAGCTCCTTTTCTGTCTCCTTTCATTTCCCACCATCAGTCTTTCTCCAGTGTTCTATTTCTTTTCCCTCCATGCTCTCTTCCTTGGAAGTCTTGCCTATTGTCAGGCTTAAATGTCTATGTGTAAGACATACCTATTTTTCTATCCACCTCATTCCTCCAAGGCTCAGAAATGGAATTTCAAGCTGCCTGAATAATGCCATTCAGGCAATAAACGTTTGCTGAGGCAGTCTGCTATATCGGAGACATGGTGCTAGGTGCTGGAGATAGTAAAATGAAACAGACACTCTTCCTATCCTAGAGGAGCTCACAGCTCAGTGAGAAATAAAGTTCCAACAATTATGAGAGAGAGAGAGAGAGAGAAAAAGGTGAGATGAGATTAATACTTCCCATGTGCCAGGCACTTTTCTAAGTGCTTTATAAATATGAACTCATTTAATCCTCACAACAATACTAGGAGGCAGACACTATTATTGTCTTCATTTAACAGATGTTATGGTGAAATTGAGGTACACTAATCTGCCAAAAGTCACTCAGCTAGTAAATAGCAGAGCAGGATTCAGACTCAGCCAGTTTGGCCCCATTTCTCGTGCTCTTGAGCATTGCACTGTTCTGACTCTGCTAAGAGCGCTGTCTCTGAGTCCAACCTGAATTCAAATCTTGGTCTGTCATTTAATATCTCTCACTTTACGACTCTCTAAGCCCTAGTTTCCTCTTCTATAAAACAGAGTTAATAATAGTAATTGCCTTATATGTTTATTGTAAGGAAGGAAAGGAACTTAGTACACGCTTTGGCACTCAGTCTGCATTTAAAAACTGTTAGCCATCATCATCATTATTGTTGAGATACGAAATACTATATCTCAGTATTGGACCTGAGGACGTCAGAAAAGTTTACAGGGAGGTGGTGACACGAGTTTTGAAGACTTAGAGCTCTCACTGAATAAAAACTGTCTCTTCCTCTGAGATCCATAATCCTGCTTATGGCATCATTGTTTTCCTAGTTACCCAGGCTCCAAGCTTAAGCCATCCTTTTTTTTTCTTTTTTTCTATCTAACATTGTTTACTTTAACACAAGCTAAATTAACACAAGTTGGATATTAAAATATCTCTGAGAACAATTTCTACTATATTGTGAAAAATCAAGCAACCACTCTATAATTTGTAAAAATTTCACTTTCAGTTGAATGTTTTCTTCTAATAATTGTCTAAGAATGTCTAATTGGTCAACATTATGTGTTGAGTTTTCTCTTTTTTTTTAATTTATCTATTTATTTAATTTATTTATTTTGGGCTGCGTTGGGTCTTCGTTGCTGCGCGTGGGCTTTCTCTAGCTGCAGTGAGTGGGGGCTACTCTTCATTGCGGTGCGCAGGCTTCTCATTGCTGTGGCTTCTCTTGTTGTGGAGCACAGGCTCACTGCAGAGCACAGACTATAGGCACGCGGGCTCAGAAGTTGTGGATTGCGACGTCTAGAGCACAGGCTCAGTAGCTGTGGCGCACAGGCTTAGTTGCTCCGCGGCATGTGGGATCTTCCCGGACCAGGGCCCAAACCCGTGTCCCCTGCATTGGCAGGTGGATTCTTAAGCACTGTGCCACAGGGAAGCCCTTGAGTTTTCTCTTGAACAAAATTTGTATAGAGAGTATAAAACTTTAAATAAGTATGAATAGATATTAAGCTTAAAACTAAATCTGCCCTAAGTCTGTCTTCTGAGGTTTGTACAGAGGCCTAGAAGGTTTGTACAGGGTCAGTAGTGAGGTCCTTGTGGCAGTGTGTTGTCCTTTTTTTTTTTTAAATTGGAGTATAGTTGCTTTACACTGCTGTGTCAGTTTCTGCTGTACAGCAAAGTGAATCAGCCATATGTATACATATATCCCCTCCGTTTGGGATTTGCTTCCCTTTAGGTCACTACAGAGTACTGAGTTTTTTTGGTTTGGTTTGGTTTTGGCCGTGCCCTTCAGCATGCGGGATCTTAGTTCCCCATCCAGGGATCGAACCTGTGCCCCCTGCAGTAGAAGAGCGGAGTCCTAACCACTGGACTGCCAGGGGATTCCCCCAAACACCGTAGTTTCTACCTGATTTTTCTCCCCTAGAATTGAGCCTACTCATTCAATGGGAAGTACCATTTCTTGAATGAATAGTGAATGGGTAGATGATCCTGAAAGAAACAGGGACCTCCTAATAGAAATCTACTATCAACAAAAGAACACAGCTATCAGACAAAAAGGAATATGATCACATCCTGAATTTTTTCTGTCCCCTTCGTTTTATGGACTTCATTATCTGTGGGGAAGAGAGTTCGTGACAGATGCTTGTATGCTTGTAACAGAGATATGAGGGAAAGTTTCCAAGCAGAGGCTAGAATCAGAAACTGTGTGTGAAGTCAGTGAAAACTTTTACAGAGTCATCAAGTTCAGTACACTAATACTGCTGATGCTCGTATTCCATGTACAGTTCCCAGAGTTATTCTACATTGGAACATTCCTATAAGGAAAATACTCTAACTTCAATGATGAGCACTTTTTTGGGGGGGTTGGGAGGTGGTGCTCATCCTGTGGCATGCGGGATCTTAGTTCCCTGATCAGGGATCGAACCCAGATCCACGGCAGTGAAAGTTCCAAGTCTTTACCACTGGACCACCAGGGAATTCCCCAATGATGGGTACTTTAATAAATAGCTTTCAGTCATCAAAAATCCATCATTCCTTCAGCAAACATCTATTAAGTGCACACTTTATACCAGGCATAATGTTAGAAACTGGAAATGCAAAGAGGAGCAAGGAGCTCACAGTCTATCAGGAGAGACAGACAAACAACTAACTGTGATATAACATACATGATATAGCAGCAATTGAAGTAGAAGTCTATGTAAGCCCAGAGAAAAGAGTTATTAATCCTGTTTGGCCTTGCAGGAGGCTTTAAGAAGACATGACATTTGCGATGGGTATTAAAGGATTAATAGAAGTTTGTTCAGAGGAGGAGGCAAAGGCTAATAGAACAGAAATAGTACTAATATCAAACTGAATTCAGATGTTGTTTTCATCACAGTCAGCAAATACATCAACCTAGCCCAAAACTGACTAAAATATTT